AAAAAAAAAAATTAAGCATCCAAGTGTTCATTTCAGATCAGGCCATGATCTCACAGTTTGTGAGTTCAAGCCCCACATGGGTTCTGTGCTGACGGCGTGGGGGCTGCTTGGGATTCTCTCTCTGCCCCTCCCCTGCTTGTGCCAGCGTGTGTTCTCTCTCTCTCAAAAAGAAACACGAAAAAAGAGAGAGAATCCCGCGTACTTACTCTCCCCCACCCCCCCTGTGTTCCAGAAAGATTGATGCCATCTGAGCAGAAACAATGAAAGAAAATTTCTCAGTCCATTTCTAGTAGACACATGTTAGTCAGAATGTGTCCTTCCTCCTTTTTACCAGCTTTCTGACTACTCTGCGCTTTCCCTCGGGTAGCTGGATTCACTCTGAGCCTGCTCAGGAAATCTTCAGTAGAGGCTGCTGCCTCATTCGAGAGGTCCTGGGCTTGTGCCGGCCTACAGCTAATCAGACGTCATTCCCAGACTGATTTTTGGTTTGGCCTTGGATCGCTGAATCCTGTGCTGCATCTCCAGAAGCCACCCAGGATTATGCCGTTGCCCTCCAAGGCCACTCAGATTCAATCAATGCAATGTGAGTGTTAAAAAGTACAGTTTAAAACAGAACTTGTGCTTCCAGCAAAGCTGGGCTGAATCACCACAGAATCGTATCCAACTAAATCACCTTCTCTGAGATAAAGGATCCTACAGCCTCTGCGTGCTGGTCTTTCTGAAGTGTTAAGTGCCGTAATTTTTGTTTCATTTACACAACTTTCCTACAACCAGTAAGTGGAAAAGGTGAACTCAGCAGGCCTGGGTTGCTCAAAAGGAGGTCTGTCTTCAGGACTGGCCTTGATCGGCTCGAAGGTTGTGGAATATTCTGGCTGATAAGAATGTTTCTGTATGCCTGAGACCTTGGGCCACGCTCTACCGGCCGGACCAGATAAGTTTACCCTGACAATGTGATTTTTGAAAACGCGTGCTTTTGCTCGGGCTGGGGTGGGAGTGATGGGAGTCAGTGACACAGACACCATGTGCTCATATAACTGACCCCCAATAAAATCCCTGTGTACAAAGGCTCAGCTAGTCTTCTCTGATGGGTGACACTTCACGCATGCCGTGACGCATCCCTGCTGAAAGAATCAGGCTCATCCCAAAGCGTTTCCACTGGGGTAGGAGAGCGGGAAGCCTGTGTTTGGTTTCTCCCGGACTCTGCCCCATGCACCTTTGCACTGCCCTCATTTTTCACCTGTGTCCTCCGTCTGTAATCAACCACAACCATGAGAATAACAGCTATTCCATGAGTCCTTTTAGCGAATCATCAATCTGAGAATGGTCTTGGGGACCTCTGCCATAACCAGTATTTTCATTTTCTTTGAAATAATAACTTACCTTATATTGAATATCCTGGAGGATTTCAGTCACAGCCTTCAGACCTACATGTTCTTTTCCTATCTGAAATACATAAAGCATAAACCACACCACAAAATTTTTTAAACACTCAGCTTTTACTCAAAATAACTAACAGAAAGTAAAGTTCAAGTCCACCTGAATTTCCTTCTCAGGGAGTAAGTAGATGACCTTTTTATTAATAACCAGGTCAACTTCTACTAAAGGCAATTAAAGTTGTAAGAGAAGCTAGTGTAAGAAAGTATTAGCTATGTTCTCGGACATTTCCAACAATTCATTCTAAATTCATCTTGCTCTGTATGGATTATCGCCCACTCTGCTCTATGTAATTGACCCTTGAACAATGAGGGGGTTAAGGGGCACTGACTCCTGTGCCCTTGAAAATGACGTATAATGTCTGACTCCCCAAAAACTTACCTACTAATAGCCTACTGTTGACCTGAAGCCTTACTGAAAGCAACAGTCAATTAACACGGGTTCTGAATGTTATACGTGTTATATACTGTATTCTCACAATAAAGTAAGCTGGAGAAAATAAAATATTATTAAGAAAATCATAAGAAGGAGAAAACATTTACAGCACTATACCATAAAAAAATCCACGTATAATGGACCCATGCAGTTCAAAGTCATGTTTGTTCAAGGGCCAACTGTTTATCAAATGATTACAATTTCAAGGGTATTTCAAGGATATTTCTTATTAAAATTGCTCATCACATTCCAAACACTTTCATTTTTACCTTTGGTATTTTTAGACCATTGTCATAAAGACTTTACCAACGTTGAAAAATTGTATTAACTCAGAAAAGTAAGTATGTGATTTCATATTTAAAGTCACCAAAATCAGGACATCTCTTGATTACCACTGGACATAACTGTAAAATCACCTTTTTATTCTTAAATACATCAAAATATGCTGTTCGTTGATTTTCATTTTAAAACATTACATATCATTACATATTTTTAGTGTATAATATGCTTCAAAGAACGGGAGCCTTCAAAGAAATCTGACATTAAGTATTCTTGACTTTAACATTAGAAATTGTAAGTGCCATCTGATTTCCACTTTTCGACCAGGTTTCAATGGTCCATGATAACGGACGACGGCAACAGCAAGAGATAACTTAAAATCTTAGATAAACACTGTTATCATTCGCTTTTTCTCTTCCACAGAAAGGTGTGGAGAATGACCTACAGGAGCTAGAAAAGCTGTCAACGTGTCGCCATTTTCCGTGTCTTTCCACGGGCAGCAACTGCGAAGCATGCCAGGTGAAGGGGCGAGAGAGAGAAAAGAGACAAGAAACTCACGTAACCTAAGACATCCCAATCAGTTCCAAACAGCCAAGACTTCAACTATTTCCCAAGTGTTTGCAGTCCTCAGACAGGCTTTAAAGACAGAAAATGAACCCTCTAAAGCTAAAGAATAATACCGAAGGCAAATGTGAGTGCAGAAGCCTGGATCTGTTAGCAGAAGGCTTTGCCCAGTCACCTGGGGAAACAGACCTCTCTCTCTCTTTGTTGTACTCGGTTAACCATGACGTAGCATCTGGAGGATTCCAGATGGGGTCCGTTTTCCTTTAACGCATCTGCTGTCAGACTGTAACTTGTTGAAAGAGTCCTCAGTGTCGTGGTTCAGGAGCAAGGTCACCTATGCTGGGTGTCCGGGTTCTGAGCCTGACTCACTTTTCAGCCTTAAGCAAGTTTACTTAACCTCTATGTCCTTCAGATTCCTCATCTGGGGGGGGGGGG